ACATACCCCAAATACTGCTGCTGGGATGAACCACGGTACATCAAGCCACAGGATTCCCATAGAAAAAATACATTTTGACATTCACTTAAATGCCGCAATGATATAATTCCTTATCAAAAGAAGCGACAGCAATTTGGCTGTCAGTTGTATAATTATGCACATTGCCTATCTTTAGTTCTAGTAATTTTTAAAAATGTTCAATTATACTGATATTGTAAGACACTAAAGAATTAACAGTTACTAAAATATTAAATGACTAGCTCTGTATTTGGCTTGTATGCTTTCCTCCTTCACCTACTTAATCTTCAGAATTTCCCTATCTTATCGAGTACAGGAGGGCCATTCAACACAGTCTTTGAACAACAGCAATCAGCTGAGTGTCCAACCCATATGTTTTTGGAAACATCAGTCTGAATTTTCTGAGAAGCATCATGCTATTATGGCTACAGATTCCAAAAACTGGTCATTTAGCCCTTGATTATATTTAGATGAATTAATCCCTGTAAGTATAGGGGGGTTATATGACGCCAACATGAATTTACAGAAAGAACTGCTGCAGTGAAATAATTCACTCTTTAGTCATAAACATGCAATACCTATTCCAACCACCATAGCACAAACTTGAATTTCTCTGGAAGCAAAATATGGCTCAAAATACAAAATGTTAAATTTTGAGTTAATACAAAACCTGTGACACTAACAGCACAGACTAATTATCAATTAACTGAAAGCTTGTAAGACATTTTATGAACAAGGTCTCGTGTAATGTCAGTGTGCTAGTTAAAAACTGATTCTAGAATGTAAAGTTAAACTCACTGCAGAAGCATTTTAAGCATGAATTCATAATAAATTTCACTCCGGGTTACACAGATTTTACTTGATTTTTTTAGTACAAACTTTACAAAAACTTTCTTTTATTTGAGTCTTGCCGGCCTCAAGCACATTCACTTCCTTCAGATGGCAGAAACAAGCTTCTGAAGTTTGTCAGCATAATTTCTTAACTGTCTATTTGGTGTCTTATTGATAGGATCAACTGCACGAAATGTTAAAGTCTTGCTCACGTTGTAAGTTACTGACTTTTTCATTTAGTGTATTTTAACTGCCCCTAATTTCCCTTGGGCTTCCTGTGCTTGCTGCGTGTTGTGTTCCATCACTGTGGGGACAGTCCGTGTGTCTGTTTTGAGCAGTGACAGGTCAAACAGCACGCACAAGCTGTAACACGCAATAGCTATTGAGCAAGGATACCACGTGAGGTGAATAAACACCTCATGCCAACATGTGGACTTTTTGCTTTCTGCCAAAGTTACTTGTTATTAACATTTTCTCAGTGTTTACAGAAAAAGCTACACCTTTGCTAATGAAAGGCTTGCAAAGCTTAGACGGGAGTTTTCAATGTGCAGCCCCATAGATTGCATTTACCCTGCCAGAACAATTAATTCAACATGTTCCTCAAGAAGCCCCAGGTTCTTCCTATCATATTTCCATATCTTAAACTACGCAACACAGTCTGTTTCTCAAGTTTTATGCTGGTATTTCTATCATCATTATCATTACTACCTGCAAGGCTGAGCTGCAATTATTAAAATGTCCATTGCTGAACAAGCCTTGTAGCCAGTATGTACACATCCTACCTTAACAACCCCTTATCGCATCCTCTACTGTGTTAATTAGTACAAGGTCACAAACCCTTCTTCTGGATGAAAAGCAAACTAGCAACTAGAGAATCCAACCTGACTGATGTCCTAATTCCAAGTGGTAAAATTTCTCATTAACCAGGCATCACAAGAACCAAGTTGCTTTCTGTTTGTATTTGCCTGCTGCAATTTTAAGACACTCAAATAGTAAAACTTAAGGCAATTACCATCACAGCTGTGTAATTTTATTTTACAGGCAGATAGATGGCACAAATGATGAGGGCCATGAGAACAGACTTAACATCTCTAAGTTACAATCAGTATACAAACTATGATATATTGGTGCTTTAGTACAGCATGGCAAAAGCCATTTTCTTGGCAACTCCTCTAAGAAACAGTATTTGAAGAGTGGGAGCAATACTTAAAAGTTCTACCTAATAGATGCATTATGTGTGGTTCGTGTTTTAGAGTTACATGAATCAAATCACTCTTGAGAAAAAAAAAGGTGAAAAAAGGAAAGAAAAAAGGGGGGAAAAAGGGAAAAAAGGGGGGGGGAAGGGGAAAAAAAAGAAAAAAAAAAGAAAAAAGAAACTGCAACCTCACAGTCCAGAAATAATTGAAAAGAATATCCTATAGCATGGACGTTCTATTAAGTATGTTGTATGCATGTTGTAACCTCTACCTCATCTAAGATCAGATTCAAAGACATGAAAACATAGGAAGAAATATGTCTGCCCAAAAGCTTGCAACAAATTAACATAATTATTTGAAATCTTTTACTTTATATCATATATAGCATCATGACACAAAACTATGTATAAAACAATTGAATTGTGCAACATTTTCCAGCATTAGTGCTAAATTCAAAATATTTCTTACTTACTTTATCTGGCACAGTAACTCACTTGCAAATGCACTTTAAGACATGCTATCCCATCATTATGGAAAAGCAGTTCCTGTAAACCTTTTGGTCTCAAAGTTAGCATTTTAAATTGTGAGTGAATTTGCAGGTTGGTTTTCTCTTTAATTAGCATTTTTTGAGAGTTATTACACTGTAAATATTCACCTGAATTATTTTTCTAGTTGCAAATTCTGTCTTGCCATTTACATGAATCAAAAATAACTGAAGAGATGGCTCAATTTTCCATCGACATATTGAAGAATACAGCAAAGGCAGACATGCAACAGAAAGGAGTATTAGCTGTACAGGGTTCTTTAAAAATTGTAACAAAAACAGATGAGAAGCCTTCGTATACAATTTAAAATTTCAGTGAAAGTTTACATTCAACATTATCCTACAGAAGCTGTAAACCTGCAACAGTAGGAAGTACAGAGCAGATAGCATTAATTAATCAAATCCATAGACCTGTTTTAATTTCGCTCCCCTATATTTATTCACGCACACTGGTCATTTTCACTTTTTTCCATCTCTTCCATCAAAACTTAAACCACTTCTGTAACGACAGCCATTGCTCTCTTCATTTCACATTTGTGATCAGGGCTAAACATATTGCTATGCTGAGACTTAATGGCAGAGTTCTGGTTAACATTAAATAGCCTCATTTCAAGTCCTCAGTTACAAAATACTCACTCCGTTTATAGATTTCTGTTACCTTCGGAGCGTCTGCATTGGCTCAGTAAACGTTGTTTTCCAACAGCATCAAAAAATCACAGCAAATCATTTTATTTTTTTCAGTTTTGTGTTTGAAATGTTATCAGCAACACAGTTAAAGAAGTTTATATAGAGTGGTGGTCTCAGATTTTATGCATTGAATACTTCTCCTCGTATGTTTGATATAAGACATCTACAAGGGCAAGGTATTTGTTTCAAAGGGCTGGTGGGAGGGGAATCAGCCCAGGAGACACTGCATTCTTGTAAAGCAGTAAATAAGATAGTTACCTTTTACTGAGATCGAAAAAAGGTGGAATTGGTTCTGTTAATGCAAGTTTGCCACCCATGGTCAATTTGTAATGAAAGTTATCTGAAGTAATAAGAGATGTAACCAGAAAGAAAGCCTCAAATCTTCACAACCTACAACAGAACACCAGTAACACTCTAAGACAGACTGCAAAATTAATCCTCAGCCATTCCAGTAGTTTCACCATAACAACATTACAAAAGCTTATCGGCACCGTAAAGAGATCGCTGCAGCCTAGCTAACTTAGGGCGCCTGAAGACAATTTCTCTTTTGCTGCAGGAACTGCAGGAGGAAGAAGCCTGATGAATTCTTGTCACATCTATACCTCACACCATGCTTAGGAAATACAATTCTGTTTGCATTGTTTTGATTGCTGCCCTTTTCAAAAGTCTGAAAATAGCTCAGCCTCTATCAAAAAGGCATTTTATTAACTCATGCTTTGCTAAAAGAAGTGTGGGTTTGGCCATAGCTCTTCCCAGAGGAGACAGCATAGAACACAGAAGAAGTACAGCCTGCCAGCGCTATCAGACAATAACAGAACTGTTACGTGGTAAGACAGGAAGAAAAACTAGGAACAGGTTGCATTTCAGAGTACTATGGCTAAAGAGAGAATTTTAATAGTATATGGTTTTGAAGTAAGTTACTTTGTACATATAATACACACTAAAAAAATACAATTTGGCAAAGGTTGCATGTAGATTTATTATTTTTTTCCCAAACTGTTTATACAGCACCAAATGTTCTGGTGACTTTGTTTTGACACCTAAAATAAGACAAAGCCTATATGCGTACAGGTGTTCACCTACTATAAATCAGAACAGGCTGCCCAGTGTTCTTACCACATTTTCAAAAGAAACATTTGTTATGAATTTTTTACCCAGAGATATAACAATCTTTAATTAAAAAAAACCACAAAAAAACCTCCTCAGCTGATGTTTTATCATGCTGTCATTATGTAGTCTTCTATTAACCCTCCACTATTGATTTATTAATACTATGTTGACTGTAGACTGCAAAGCTTTAGATCAGGAAACAATGTAACAGGGGTTGCAAAGACCTCTGTATTTTAGGAATCTGTGAAAGGGCATTCAAATCACAAAGGACACAAATAACGGCGTTTGGTCTGTTATTTTTTTCAAATACCGTAAATATACAGCAGTGCAAGAAAAAGTTCAGTTTAAGTGCTACATCCAAAAGCAGCAGGTCACTAATATGCTCCTGGAAAAGACGTTAATTTTGTCCATCCTAGATAGGATTGTGATCTAAGAACCGTGAATCCATTACTTTCATCCTGTGTAGAAGTGCTCTTGTTACTGGCTAAATTTATTTTCCTCTTTGGATAGGAAATCATCTAGCTAACAGGATCTCTGATTTTATTTAAATCATTTCTTATCAAAGTAATCTTCCAGAAGTGAGCATGACCTTCCAAAAGATGGCAACTTCAGATTTATAAGTTTATGTTCTTTAGACATTCCAAGACTTCATCATGGAGCCAGGTTTCAGTAAACATACTAGAGTTTTGCAAAGCCTCAAAAAGACGCTTGTAGTCTTCCGGGTATAAGTTACGCGTTAGAGCATTTTTTGGAATTTCTAGTTCTCTCAGTAATTCGTCAACATCATCCAAGCTCCATGAACTGAAAAAAAACCAAACAAAATCACAATGGAGCATTTCTTTCTGTGAAAAATTAAAGAGCAAGAAACAGTATCTGAAGGTCCATTTCACTTTTTCACAGCTTTTAGAAGTCAACATCTCCTTACAACTCAAGTTATTTTCAATCCATACTGCAAACAGGAAGAAACCTCCGCCAATAAGACATAGAAACACCAAATAAAGCCTCCAGCAGACACAGACAACACCAAACTACGTGAAGCCCTCCTCAGTAGTGGGTGAGTGCCCTCCACCCCACCTGCACATGACAGTAACAGGTACTACAGGATAAAAAGGGGTTATTCTTCAATGCTCGGGAAATTAAAGCCAAGATCACCTTCAAGAAGATGATTCAGTGTGGCACGAGTTAATGTGACTTACACCTCCTAGGTACTTTCTCCTATATGTAAACGGATGTATCCACTGTCTACACATCTACATCACTAGATCTTTTATAAATGTGCATATACATTAACTGGTTTCCAGATGAGAAAAAGGTGTATAAATACACAGAAGATGCACATTATAAGCCTTCAAGGTTAGCTCTACTTCCTGGCCAAAAGATCGAATGGAGTGTAGGTATACCACTGAGCTTTAATAATCTTTTTTGCTCTTGTATTTGCTAAATGAGTTACTGGAATTTATTAGATGCCTTTCTTTTTTTTTTTCTGGAAATTAACTTCCATAAGCTACTACCAGCAAATGAGAATTATATTAATTATTTTCATGAAAATGTTGAAGTCAATGCTTTCCAGACTGCAAACACTTCCTGTTTATAGGAAACGGAAATCTACTCATCATAAAGCAAAGTGAATGGCTCCAATGTAATACCAGAAGGAAAAATTACAGAGAGTTGCATAATTAGTAAGTCAGTCTAAGGCCTAATTTTTTAAATTAGGTAACAGAAAGCCATTTGAGGACATCCCCATTCCACCTTCAATAACCTTCAGCTGTTTTCATTAGAGTTACTTTGATGCCTGTTATAAACTGAAACTTTTTCAGCTTTTAATTTCTATACCTGCATAATTCTTGGTGGCTTTATTATTATGGCTGTAAAGTGAGTGAGAATTTGTTGCAGCCACATGAGCTCACCTCCACTGGAGGTACAGACAATTACTGCACGTCTGCACTCTAAATATTTGTCAACCTTCCCACCAAACCTCAAGGATCACCTGTGAATACAGGCCAGAAACAGTCCCCAAAATACTGTGTTGTGGGTTGCAAAAATGAAACATTCTATTCTACATGTAGATAATTTAATTTTAAAAAGAAAAAATAAAGCTGCAAATAAATAACTGCTTTGAGAACATTTTAAAACATTTCCCTATATTTCTCTGAAGAAAAAGTATAAAAACTGTAATTCTTTCTTACTTTAATTTATCAATAAGCCTAGACTTAGGTCTAGCAAGACACTGTTTCACCATGAAAATAAAGGCAGATGCATCTGTGGGCTTCAAGCCTTCTGTAAACAGATTTTGCCGAGGAGTCAGTCGTATCAAACACAAATGGTCATTTGGAAGCCACTGCAACAAAGAGAGAAAAAGAAGTCACTGAAAAGTCTTAACAGTTATCTGACTTTTTTAGCTAAAAGTAAGTGTTTAAGCTTTGATATGCATGCTTTTCAGCAATTAACTAGCACACAGAAGCTACACTGGACATGTGAATAACCAACTTAATCAAAATCAGCAGCACATTGTTTGTGCTATTAATTTTGGTAACACTTGTTTTGTTCAAGCAGATAGATGTGACCCTGTAGGTAACCTCTTTTGAAAAAGGCTTTACCTCTTCACATGCCTTTATGCAGGTCATCGACTATATTTTTTCCATTCATAGCCAATAAAGATACTAGTTTACTTCTGTTTCTAAGCTAATATCAATTCTTCTGATGTACCTACATGCTGCCTGTAAATTTTAATTAGAAGAACATTTCTTAAAAAAAAATACATGTATAAATGCTGTTATAAAGTTATTTTAACCTTTAATTATAAGTGGAGGAACTGCATCTCCAAAAGGAGAAAAGTGCAAACAATTATCTTACCGCGCTTTTTGGTACTGCCAGTCCCCCGGTTTTCAAATTAGTTAAAAATGATGACCAAGGTTCCTATGGGAGGGAGCAAATATATTACAGAATTGAAATGCTTTGATAGAACAGAACAGAACAGAACAGAACAGAACAGAACAGAATAGAATAGAATAGAATAGAATAAGATGGGATAAGACATTTCAGTTGGAAGGGACCTATAGCAATCACCTAGTTGAACTGCCTGAGCAATTCAGGGCTAAACAAAACTTAAAGCGGGTTATTAAGGGTATTGTCCAAATGCCTCTTAACCCCTGACATGCTTGGGGCATCAACCACCTCTCCAGGAAGCTTGTTCCAGTGTTTGACCATCCTCCCAGTAAAGAATTGCTTCCTAATGTCCAGGCTAAACCGCCCCTGGAGCAGCTTTGAACCATTTCCACACATCCTATCATTGGATCCCATGGAGAAGAGCTCAGCACCTTCTTCTACACTCCCCCTCCTCAGGAAGCTGTGAAGAGCAATGAGGTTGCCCCTCACCTTCCTTTGCTCGAAATTAGACAACCCAAAATCCCTAGCCACTCGACACAGAATATTCCTTCCAGCCCTTCAGTGGCTTTGTTGCCCTCCTTGCTGCATTCGACAGACCTGCACACAGTGTTCAAGGTGAGGCTGCAGAACACTGAATGCAGTGGGATAATCACCTGTGGACGGGCTGGTCATGCTGTGCTTCCTGCACCCCAGGATGTGGTTTGCTCTTTTTGCAGGGCGCACTGCTGATTCATGTTGAGCTGCTGTCAACCAGCACCCTCAGATCCCTTTCCGCGGGGCTGCTCGCCAGCCTCTCCTCTCCCAATTTATACTTGTGCCTGGTGTTACTCTGTCCTAGGTGCAGAACTCAGCATTTTGACTTGTTTGATTTCATCCCATTAATCACTGCCCAATCCTCTAATCATCTAGATTTCTCTGTAAGGCATCTTGTCCCTCAAGAGAGTCAACAGCACCTCCCAGTTTTGTATCATCAGCAAACATGCTAATCCAGATTGTTGATAAATACGTTGAGCAGGATTTGCCTGAAGAATACAACTGGTAACCAGTCGTCAGCCAGATGTAACCCCATTCACTACAGCCCTTTGAGCTCTGCCCTTCAGCCAGTTCTTCACCCAGCATATCACAAACCCACTCATCCCACAGTTGAACAACTTGCCCAGTAGGATGCTGTGAGGGACAGTATCAAAAGCCTTACTAAAATCCAGAAAAATTACATCCATTGTCTTCAGTGTGGTGACCTTATAGAAGGATATCCAATTAGTTACACAGGACTTTCCTTTCTGAACCCATGGTGACTGTGTCTGATGATTGCATTATTTTTTAAACGCCTTTCAGTAGTAACCAGTGTAATCCTCTCCGTAATTTTTCCAGGAACTGAGGTTAGACTAACAGGTTTTTAGATTCCTAGGTCTTCCCTCCCACCTTTTTTGTAGATTAGAATAACACTGGCTAGCTTCCAGTCAACAGGGACTTCCCCAGACTACCAGGGCTTTTGGTTGATGATCAAGAGGGGTGCTGCCATAACATCTGCTGCCTCCTTCAGTACTCAGGAATGAAATCCATCAGGTTGCATGGACTTGCAAACATTCAGATGATGCAGCTGGTACCTCAGAATTTCAGCCTCCACAAATGGAAAGCTACTATTCCCACACTCATGGTCCTCCAAGTCAGGGGACCAGGCAACCCAAGGTCCATCAGTATTATTACAGACTGAGGCAGAAACACATCAAATGCCTCCCATGTTCTCTTCATTCCAATTAGTCAGATGACCATCTTCAACAAGTATCATATTATTCTTCAACTCCTTAATATTTACCTTAGTGTATACCTCATGGTGTAAGATATTTGGAGGACAACAGGTAGTGAAACTTTTTATTTTAGATTAGCAAAACATTTAAACTTTGAGAATATGTTCCTAGAAAAACAGAGCACAAAGTTAAACCTAAAAAGCATAGTGAAAGCTGATGGCCATGTGCTCATGTGGAGGTAACAACATTAAAAACTTACTACAGCATGTCTGACAAGGTAAGGTAGTTATTGACTAGCAGAAGCCGGCTTGGAACATGAAGGCACTAAGATTCAAAAAAATATTTCTACTGAACACAGCTCAGGAAGTCGAAAGCATACGTGATGGCAAAATGCAGAGGACATTACAAAAAGCAGACTATGAAAGAGCAGAAAAGCAGTCTTCTAGTCTCAGACAACCCTTAGCAAGATGGAAAAGACTTAGCTGTTGTGCAGACAACTCTTTCTTATCAACCAGCTTCTGATAATAAATGTTTTTCATTACAGTGGCTTGTAATGAAAATACTGACTGAAAAAAGTACTGAAAACAGTTAATAATAATGCTGCTTAACTGAAAAGTTTACACAAAACATGATTGTTTCAGGTTTTTACACCCAAATGTTTTCAAGAGTTCTCCAACTAATTTAAACGCCAAATTATCTTCCAATTAGTTTACAACAGTAAAACACTATAAATCCTTTTCTGAAAACATGTCCATAGCATTAGACCATGTCAGCTGGTACAAAAAACTTACCATGTGCAGTAGCTGAATTTCACATCCTACTTGCGCAATTACAGCAAGGGCCTGGTAAGCCCTCGGTTCCCCAGGCTTTGCTGTTAACACCTAACAAAATGGCAAAGAAAAAGCATTCATGTTGCAAAAGCTAAGACTGCTTCTTTATCTAACCAAATCTTAAAATATATCCAGTTGTAAGAAATTTATAGTTAAGTCTAAAATTCCAAGGTAAAGTTACATTAGACCTCAAATACATCCTCTGTGCTCTTTTAGCACATCTGGTCAGAATATGAATAGAAGACAGCAGTCTAAGTATTTCTTAACAGCAGTTAACTGGATAACTGAACCATGTAGGAATTTCCAGCTTATACTTTCTGGTCCCTTTTAAGGCAGAGCAGTTTGACACAGAAGAGAAACAGGGATCGTATTTTGTATAAAAACCATAACATGGGCAGTTATCAGCTTGTACTGATAATACTGCCAACAAGACACAGAAGCAGAGTAAGACAAACATCAGGTGACCTCACTGAACATTAAGCAGCTTGCACAGTCATCATTCTGATCAGTATTATAGATCAGACAACTCTTAGGGCAATAAAAAAAAAAGGAAAAAAGAAAACCTTGTGGTTATTCTCAAACAGGGTAAAGAAAGAAGTAAATTGTTGTACGAGGGATGTTTAACTTTTCATAATAGATTTAGAGCGCCTCAACATATATCAATAAAAGAACCACAACAACCCACCACCAAAAAGGAACCAACAGTGCCCACTAAAAGAAGGTTCCAACTGCTTTTACTTAGGTATACAACTCTTATTTAACAGGGTCCAAACTAAAACCAGAAAACTTAATAAAAAACCCCACAGTAACAGCATTAAATTAATAGGCTTCCTCCTATCTCTTAAAAAATCTGGCCATTAAAAACATACCATTTAAGTGGATATTTCAGTAGTGGCCAACCTGACATTTCATAAAAGAATGAAGGGTAGGTATTAGACACAGTAGGGTATTAGACACAACACAGGTTGTGTAAGCACACTTGAAAGTCTTTACTTACTTCAAGTAATTAAAGGTTTGTGGCTCTATACAAACCTCAGTTTTACAGAAAGAAAAGCTACCCATGAACTGTGAGTGTAATTCTAGAGGTTTGGGACAGCATAAATTAGGAAGACATCAGCCAGAAGGCTGCTCTTGCGTTTTAGTGTACAGAACCTTAACAAAAAGGTAAATCAGTCATATTTTACCTCAGGTTTTTTTTCAGTACCACATAAAAAAGTGGCATTTCACTGAGTACAGTATTTAGTAACTCATGAGTCCTCTTCACAGGGCATCTTGAATTCAGTCTTCACGGGCTATTACCTGCAACTACTACACAATTTTGTTGCAAAAGTACATTACAGAATATAAGCACCTCACAAGTTACGACAGAAAGCAGCTAGTCTGCTGCTACAAATCCTTCTCAAGGGCCAGTTTTCACACTTCCAAGATTTGTCAAGAATGTTTCTTGACAGTGCTATTACTGCGTAAAGAGAAGGGGCAGGAAATGGACAAGGCTTTTTCTTGCAGAAAAAGAAATCCACTAGCGAAAACATTAACTACACAATAAAAATGTTTTTGTATTCTGTGAAGCACTACTTATTCTCTACTACCTGTAAAATTTCTTACACATACCTTGTACTCTCTTTCACTCACAAAGATGTTGAGTTCTACTCTTCCATATCTGTATATTGAATTGCATTCATACAGGGCAAAAAGAAGCTTCCAAAGATTGGTCCTTTCCTTTTTTTGTGGTAAGATTCCAAAAACTTTCACAGGTGCATCTGTTTGAAAAGTGTGTAAAAATATCTTTAAAACTCTGCAATGTGTACTAGACAATCTCATTAATGCTAATGTCTAAACTACAATTAAGAAAGTCTATCAGCTCTTGCTGTTTAAGAATGAATACAATTCAAGCTTTAGTCAAAGCTAAGCTCAGCTTGTATTAGACTAGACCGTTACTAAAAGATAAATACATATTGCCAAAATGTTTTTTTTAATCTGTAAAGAACCCAAACAAAGCTGAAATGTAGGAAACAGTATCCATTAATCCATTAATATTAAATATATACCTCAAGCAAATCCCAAAGGTTTTGCCAATCTGCCTATGCACCCTTCAAACCTATTTGCAACATGTGCAATCATATACGTATACCTGCCCTCCAAGGAACTGCTGCTACACCGATGGTTTCAAAAAGTTTGTCAGAGTGCATAGCAGGTGGTCTCACTGCTCCAGTCGCCAAAGGATCCAGTTTGAAGAAGTCACAATAAATTACTTTTAATTGTCCGTCCAGGCTATTCTCTAGAGACTGAATAAAATTAGTTTCAGTTGAAGAAATTTGGATGCAGTAACATTCCTTGCAAAACACCCTACCCAAACAAAACAACAAAAAAACCCAGTCAACCGCTACCTAAAATTGTACCCAGTCAACAAGTAAAATCTTAGAGCTGCTTCTTACACTTAACAAAATGAAAAGCTTTCATCATTGTGAAGGCCATTTTAACATTTTGTGCTGTTCAACTGGAGCTTTAAAACACATTCTTAAATTAGTATAATGTTCTAAAACATTCTACAAAAAAAACACATATGTTCAACTAAGTAAATCACTGCATTTAATGGTTTACAACTACAGTTCTTCATATAGGCAGAGAGGATGTCTTTTATACACATTTTAAGTCACGTGCATCTGCTGCAGTTCTGTGTCTGACTACCTTTGAATTCATGCAAAGCCAAGGCAAACAGGAGAGGACAACACATCTAAGTGTCTTGCTATTACAAACCAGTTACAGGACAACAGATTAAATAATACCATGAGATAATCAGAATAACCAACACTATTTTTACATTTTTCTTAGAGCTACATACAGACATCTTGCTTAAACATACACAACTACAATAGCTCTGACTAGTATTAGCCTGATTATGAAGCAAACTGTTCATGAACTTGGATTCCTACATACACAAAATGTCAAATCTATTGATTAACAAATAGTCTGTTGCTGAACATGCAAAGTCAAATCAAACAATATTTACTACTATTAAGCGGTATTTCAAATGTTGCAAGTAATGATCACTGGCTGATTCCCTTCTGATCCAAGACAAATTGTATTATTGCATGCTTCTAAGTTAACTTCTTATTTGCCTTTAATTAAGTTTTAGAAAGATGCTACCAAATCAATAGCGTACCTGTAAGTTTGGAAGAAAAGCTGAGTTACTTTCTAGAGCTACCACTTTAACACCTGTATTGAGCAGAGTTCGTGTCAAGATTCCAGGACCTGATGGGGGAAAATTTTTTTTTAAAAAAAAAAGTACTTAAGTGCATTTTTTTAAGTGATTTTCCCACCATAACACTCGGGACTTTCAACAGGACATAACTTATGTTTGCTTAAACATACTTCAAAACAAGAGTTAGAAAAAAGATTTACAAGCGGCCTGCCTGAGATTACTCAGTGAATTACACCAAACACTGCATTACAGCTAGATACTAAGGAACATTAGATACAACATTACAAATATTTCTACTACTTTTTCTACTGCCAACTGAAATGTACTTTGAAATCTTACCCATCTTACGGTCTACAGGTAAAACATACTCTGCAGAAGTACATGAACCCCAGGAGGTAACTGCAGGGGGCTAGCTGTGTAAGGGCCCACAGCCTTAGGAACCCTTTCACTGACAGAAATATTCCCCTACAAAACAAAAAATACTACCTGGACAAGAATTTTTATCTGTAGTCACGCTACAGCTGGATTTTAACATCAGTGCCTCAAGTCTCCAGACTGAGCATTGCCTCATTTCCCGCCAAGCTCTCTATAAACGGACCCCCACGCGGTATCGTGACCCCTGAACGGTCTCG